CTCGATTTTGAATCGGAAAAATATTCTACGCAATTTAGTATGAAAGCTGATCAAAATGAAACACATGAACGACAAACTGTTATTGACAACTTTCTTCAAACGTTTTCTATTTTTCCGAAAACTAACTAGATAGTTCGAAAATCATTTCCTTCGTTAAAACGCCTCTTGTTCCGAAAAAGGTACACGCCTGTCAACATTCATCGTTCATTAAAAAAGTGGTAGATACAAAACGCTTCGTATTGTAAGGCCAAAATATATTTAGAAATCGAAATAGTCATATAAACAAAAAAATCATATGAGTGAGATAACTACCAAATTAATGATTTACAAGTTTATTCCTATTATTTATAAAATAGGTTTGCAATGTGCTGGTGTGGAATGTTATCATCGACTAAAAACTTTAAATCTTTGTATTAAATTGATCGAAAACAAACTATAAATTGGTTTAAGCTATATAGAATGTTTCTAGTAAGCAGCAACTAATTTTTATTATGGAACCGAAAGACCCTTTTAAAAGGGTTCAAAATTAAAATAAAATATGTACCAAGTAAATGTAGTAGTATTTTTTAATTTATATTGAAAATGGTAACATGAAAGGTTTTCTGTCTAACGACTCATAGTCTCGGCTGACAAAATGTAAAAAAATATCGAACATAATATTCCTGGGCCCTATTTTGCACTTCCCAGATTAAATTTAGTTGTAGCAAATGATATTATCAAATAAGATGTCAAATCACAAGCAAAATCTCGTGACTACAGTACTAATGATTGCCTGTTTGGAAAAGTATCTTTATTTGTAAATATTTATATGCATAGTTATATTTAAATGCGCGAGTGTAATGTTAAGTATAAACAAAATCCGCCCATTATGTATATACGTTTAGTTACCGACCCTAGTAAATAGGCAATTTGTTATTGTTTTAAGTTTTACCGTAGGGAGAGAGAAAATCAATATTAGGATAAATGGTCCAGCTCCTTTCTGGTTACGTAGGTACCTAAAAAGTATTTTAGTTTTTGGTTAAGTAATTAATCATTGTAACAGTGATTTTCTTGTGATAGTACCTAATTTAGATTGTGGATTAAAGTTTTTGTATATCATTTCGCTGTTTAATAATAAACGTAGTCAAAACCGGAGCACGTGGTTTTTCTGGAAAGTATTTTTAAAATCACAAGCAAAATCTCATGACTACTGTACTAATGATTGCCGAAAATTAACTAATTCATATTTTATGCCATATCTTTCTTAATAAGGACTGTCAGAACCATATTTACCTTAACTTGAAATTTTTTTAATCGTTTTTTGTATAGAATCATCTCTAAAAATGTATTATTGAAATATCGTGTGAACTATTTGTTCGATCAATAAAAAACTTGCACCGGTCCTGTTCGCGCCAGCACCGTTATACGCATGAGCTCCGACACACTATTTTCTCCTTATGGTTTCATTTTTGATATATGGAATCGGCTTTCTATACTATTTCTATGGGTTCATACACTTTTGCTTGATCAGGTAATTCGTTGAACTGCGTTTACTGCTGTCTTTGCAACTTCAACGAATTTCCATAAAAGTATCAATTAATTAAGAAACTTGAATTTATACTTCCTCTTTAGAAATGATATCTTTAAATAAACTAAACAATGAATGTGAAAAAATGAAAACAATAATTTAATATGAGATAAATATTTTTTAATAAATGAATAATTATTTAACTATTTTACCTATAGTGCATGAACCCTAAATATATTATTTGACAATATTGTGATAGTTTGCCTTCATTTTAGTGAAAAAAAAAACTAAAAGACTTGTAAACAAATATTAAATGTAGTTATCGAGCAAACTCTTATGTAATAATAATAATAATAATAATAATAATAATAATAATAATAATAATAATAATAATAATAATAATAATAATAATAATAATAATAATAATAATAATAATTAATAATAATAATAATAATAATAATAATAATAATAATAATAATAATGACTTTATTGCTTTCAATACATACAAATTATTATACAAAATTATATAAATATACATAAAAAAAATACTGAAAGACAAAAGGCGACGTTCGCACTTACTGGCGAGCTCAAAGATTGAGCCAGCAAATAAGCAGCGCTCTTCCACGCAACCCAGAAAAATATAAATAATTAAGTAATGCATACAGATTTTCTATGAAAAAAAGTGAAATTCTAGCTTTCAATAAGAAAGCAAACAAACAATTAATATGGAAACTTAGAAATAATAAAAACAAAGGTCAAATTTTATAAATCCTAGATCTGTGTTGTTATTGTAGTTATTAATCAATAGTGACGAGTAAAAAATAGAAATAACATGAAATATTATTGTTAAACTAAATTTAATTAACAATATAAATTAAAAATTGTAAGTGATATCTCCGTTAAATAAAAGGTTTTTGACTACTTTTCTAAAACTTGAGAGTGATGTGATATTAAATATTTTAGGGGCAAGGTTAAATAATTTGGCTGTGAAATACGAAAAGCAAGATCGGAATAAGGTTGTAGTGTGTTTCGGAAGTGTTAGGAAATTTTTAAATCTTACATTAACATTATGGACTTCAGATCTCCTTTTTATTTTTTCATACAAATAATCAGGTTTTTTTGATAACAATAATTTATGGATCAGGACATAGGCATGTAACAATCTCCTATTATTTAGATTAAGCCATCCCAAACTAGCCAGATGTTGAGATGTACGGGTACGACGACGAACCCCGCAAATAAATCTAACACACGCATTTTGAGTTCGTTGTAAACGGTTTTTATGAAATTGTGTAAGTGCAGGCCCATATACAATGTCACCGTAATTAAACTGAGACAGCACTAAGCTTTCGCAAAGCAACTTTTTGGTATTTCTGTTGAGAAATTCCCGATTATTCCCGATGTATTATTTATTACCCGATTGGTGTTGCTATTCGATCTGATCCATCATCCCCCTAAAGCCAAGTCCTAGTTAAGCCTCTTCAAAGAACATATACAATGACAATTAATTTGTATTTTGTAAAATTCATTATTACTAGAAGAATTATCGCGATCAGTAAAATAACTTCTGATATATTAATGTCAGACACTAAATAATCTGACACTTCATTAAGACCCAGCCTACTTGACTGAATGTTCACTTTCGATAAAACCACTATAGACCGTCAGATAGTAACAGGTTTAGGTGCCCCTTTTTCGCATACAAGCCTCGAAGAGAGTTGAATAGTACATCGATTTTAAGTAGAATGAAATTAAATTTACAAGTGGCTTCTGGGGATAACACATGGAAAAATCGATTTCCCCCAACAGAAATGAAAGATTATTTGTTGCCCATATTTCTACGCAAGCCGTTTTCACTATATGATTAATTAATAGAACTGGGCTTCGGAAAATCAAAGGCTTTAATGTTGCAAGTAGCTAAAGGATTGAAATAAGGGCGTAATCTTCTAAGGAAAAATCGAGATTTTACCAGATTTTTCCACACAACCCCATCGAATGTATGAAAACGTACATCATCACTAGTCCGAAAAATATATTTTCTTGAATGACCTAAATATACAGTGTGTCTAAAAAAGTTGGCAACAAATGGGAAACTTTTTTATTATTAAGTTTAGGAAAAAACGTCATTCTTCATAAAAAGTTCTGCAAGGCCTAAAACCCAATATACGATAATCAGATATCGAAATTTTCCAATCGTATACGAGGTTTGTCAAAAAGTATGAATTTTGCTCAAGAGTAAAGTACCTTTATTTTCGACAATATCTAAAATTGTTATTAAGAAAAGTTGATTAGAATTGAAAACTACGTTTAAATAAAGGTACTTTACTATTGAGCAAAATTCATACTTTTTGACAAACCTCGTATACGATTGGAAAATTTCGATATCTGATTATCGTATATTGGGTTTTAGGCCTTGCAGAACTTTTTATGAAGAATGACGTTTTTTCCTAAACTTAATAATAAAAAAGTTTCCCATTTGTTGCCAACTTTTTCAGACACTGTATAAGTGCATTTTGGGGTCGAAAAATTTTTCCGATAAGGAAAATCGAATTTTCTATGTGTTATCCTCAAGAACCACTCATAAATTTTCTTTTATTCTACTCAACATCGATGTTTTTTTCAACCCTCTTTGCGGCTTGTATGCGAAAATGAGGCATCCAAATCGGTCACTATCTGACGGTCTACTAGAAGAAATTGGACTTTTATAGATAAATGTCTTTATAAAATTTACTTTTTAACGACGACAGGTAGGTATAGGAAAGTACATGAGGAAGTCGAAGGATATAAATTTCTCCTTCCGTTAATGAATCGTAATACAGGGTGTTCCGTTTGAAAAGTTTGACAAAATTTCCCTGGAAATTTTTGGAAAGTGCAATTAATTTGTGACAAAATAAAAAATTAAAACTTGGTCTAAAAAATGTTTGGTCTATTGGCTATTGGCTAACGTTATATTCGAGAGAGCAATACATTTTTATAGGAGTCTAAATGTGTAATATTTTTCGTTAAAAATATTTGTTAGAAAGAATATTTTGTAGAAATGTACTAGTAACCATAGAGTACCTAAAAATTATAAAAAAGTCGTTCCATTAAAAAAAAAATAAAGTGATTTACCTAATTTACTACTGGGCCACCATGTACACAAAATAACTTTCGGTAAAATTTGCATAGTAGGAGTTATAGAACTACGACAGAGGTTTGGCCGACCCTGTATAGTGGTACGATAGTACAGTAACAAAAGTTACACGCCACGCTCCGTTTATGTCATTCAATTTTATTAGAGCCAATAAGAGAACATTTTTGTTATCTATGTTCAGCGATAAGACTACTACTTTGTCCGATTTCTATGATTTTTTTTTTGTTATATGAAATGGGGTACTTTAGAGGTGATCCAATATAAATTTTGTCAAAATCTGATGATGACATTCATGAGAAAATCATCAAACTCTTCATTTTTAAAGTCGGTTTTTTAAAATTAGTTTTTTACTTGTTTCAGGTTTGCAAGACGCTATATCAAAAAACCTCGTCATAGCAGCCAAGACAGTATTGTCAGCGCGCATTTTGGCTATTAACGCTTCCACTGGATCATTGATTAACTGCGCTTGGTGGCAGAAGCAAGGTTTGGACATTGGGGAGCCTAAAAAGTTATCAGAAACCGGCATGGAGATTGGCCATCGTCCTAACACCGAATATCCTTGGTGAGTATGTAACTGAATACACCTCAGGGTTCGGTTTGAGGACTCTTAAGTAGAATCTTGTAATATAATTTTTTTCGAAGGTATGAAGATGCTGATTCCAGTCCCGGAGTGAGGTCTCCGAAATTTATAGACAGTCCTCCAAATGTCGCTTATAAAGGATGGTGGACCTATCCTTATTACTCTTGTCTTAACAGAAAATGGTTGATATCCTACAGTGTTCCGATACCTCCACCTGGTCGAAGAGGGTGAGTATTTACCAAATTATTTATTTCAAGTGTGAATGAATTTTCCCTATCACACTCCTAAATTTTATAATTTTCATTCCTATTAAAACCAAATAACAAAGGATTAATAAATGTATGTATAAAACTGAACGCATAAAACAAATATGTCCGTTATGCATTTATTCTTTATTTAGATCGGAAAACATGGAGCTCCCACGTGTTTTTGCCAGCATTGTTTGCGTTTGAATAAACCATTGTTACGGAAAATGGAATAACAATCATCTAGGTACAGAGGTCTTTGTTTAGATCGCTCAATATACAGTACGTTGCTTAGGGTGTGTCATTTTTGAGCAACTTTTTTTTACTAAAAAACAGGCTAAAAATTTTTTGGAAGGTGAAAAAAGAAGCCTCTAAAAATTTGAGCTCTTAATATTAACATTTAGTGGTGTCTGCTCCTAACTTTCCATTTTTCATTTAATTAACAAGGAAAAAAATTATTTTTTCTTATTTTTGTAGCTTGATATTTGAGCATTGTAAAAATGAACTGAAAAATTTGCATTTTAGTAATTTTAGAACATAAACAATAATTATTAAAATACAAACCATGAGAGTAAATCGAGTGTTATCAAGGGTACTTTTTTGTAGTAAATGAGTACCCAATCCAAATTTCATACTCAAACCCCTTTTTTGCCATTGGCGTAGAATTTTTAAAGGTGCAATTATTTAAAAAATCAAGTTCTACGCCTATATATTATTTTTTTTTTTTTTTTTTTTAAATTTCGTGTCATCGGCGTCGACTACTACGGCCATTAGCCTCGTGTTCTGTGTAGGCTTTGTTACTGTTTCCCAGCGCCACTTTAGGAACAGCACTGTTAATTAGAACCCAACAGCGAATGGTCGAGTGGGGAATCCTACCTATGCATTAGAATTAATATTTAATTTTTTTTAATTAAATAAAAATTCCTGCCACCGGTGGGATTCGATCCTGAGACCTTCCGATCTCAGAGTCATGACTCTAACCACTGAGCCAACCCACCCCCGCCTATTTATTATTATCGGACAAAATTTTATATGCCGTTTTTTGTTAAAAAGGGGCTACTTTAGAGGTGGTCCCATATAAATTTGGTCAAAATCTAATAATGGGATCCATGAGAAAATCCTCAGTCTTCATTTTTTATGTATGTTTAGCGATAATGCTTTACCACCTTGTCCGATTTATACGATTCTTTTTTTGTTAGTAAGGGGGTACCTCAGGGGTGGTCCCATATAAATTTGGTTAAAATGTGGTGATGGCATCTGCACGTGTTTGAAGTCGGTTTTTTTAAATTTTTAATTTGTAATACTTGTTATCTGTAGTAGGAGTTTGCTCTTACGTCCTATTAAACAGTTTAGTCTAGATCTTGCCTGTTTCGTCTTCTTTACTACCATGTCCACGTGCTTGGTGAGTTTTTGGTCATTAATAACTCCTAGGTACCTGGCTAAGTCGGTTCATAGCATGTCCTGTCCATTCATCGTTACTTCTTCTCCTGGAGGGTGATGTCTCTTCTTGAACAGCACAGTCTGTGTCTTCTCTGCGTTGATCTTTATCTTCCATCTTATGCACCATTCTTTTATATATTCCGCTGCGTCTTGTAGATATCTTGATATGAGTCCTGGCTGTGTGCTCGTTGCTGATATCGCTGTATCGTCCGCGTAGAGAGATATGATAGTATGTGGAGTTTTGGGGATGTCCGCCGTGTATAGGGAATACAGCAATGGTGACAATACCGCTCCTTGGGGTACTCATGCTTCCGGAATTACTGGTCTAGATAGGACTTTTCCGATCTTGACCTGAAATTTCCTTCTGCCGAGGTACGACCTGAGCAACCTTGTCATAGAATCCTTGTATCCTTGGTCTTTCATCTTGAAAATCAACCCAACATGCTATACTCGATCGAATTCCTTGGCGACGTCCAAGAATATGGTTCCTGTGGACTAATTACTGTTGAATCGTCTGGTGATCCCTTCGAAGAGTCTCAGGACTGGCAATTCGGTCTAGTGTTCCTCTCTGAATCCGAATTGTTCATCAGGTAGTATGTTTAGGTTTCTGGTTTCTTCTCTTAACCTTCTCGGGATAATTCTCTCCGCAATCTTACTCATAGCTGGGAGCAAGCTAATATACCTGTAATTTTGCGGGAATTTGGGGTCCTTGTTTGGTTTCAGTATCATAATCACCTCTGCTTGTTTCCACAGTCTAGGGAAGTACTGAGTTCTTAAAATCCCGTTAATGATGGCTGTGAGGTAGACTGTTGCTTGCAGCGGGAGGTGCTTAATCGCTCGGATGGAGATTTTGATCCTGCCGGGGGCTTTTTTGGCAGATAGGTGCTTGATAATGCCTGTCACCTCGTCCGGAGATAAAGGCTCAAGGTGGCCTGTATCGGGTTCGTTTTTGTAGTGGTGTTCCACTTCTTCCGTGAAGTCGAAGTCTTCGTCCTCGTGTTCGTTGTTCAAACATTGGGACTCCAGAGAAGTAGTGAATGCATCGGCTTTTTCCTCTGCGGTATTTGCCAGTCCATTTGCTCCATGCAAGGTGGGTACTGTTTTTTTTTGTCGTCTCTTAGTATTTTCTGTAGTTACCATAATTCAGGCTAAAACGTTAACTCGGCGTATGTCCACTGGGTCTCTTGTGCGAAATGCTATTTTCCTCGCTCTCTTCCTAGCTGAGATTAGGTCTTTCAGGTCTTGACTGATGTTATTGAATTTTTGGGGCTTGGCTACTGTCACTCTGGTCGTACTGAAGGCAAGTAACTGCTGGATGACTTGCTCTAGAGTTTCAAGAGCCTGGTCGACGTCTACTGGGACCTCGATTCTGGGAATGTTTCCCAGGTTTCCTTCCACTATCCTTTTGCATTGTTTCCAATTTGTCTTCGACATTTCTCTCGGAGCGTCAGCCCTTTCTCTCTCTCCGAGGACAAGGAGAGTGGGTTTGTGGGCTCCGACTCCTTCGTGCAGAGTGAACATTTCGAGGGGAAATGTGCATTCTCTAACGACTGCAATATCTATTAAATTTGGCATTCCTCTTCCAGGACAGTGGATGGGTTCTAGAGGCCCGATCGCTGAACAGCCAGGGTTGTCATCTAGGAAGTTTTTCAACACCCGTCCTTTGGGGTTGTGCACTACGCTGTTCCAGTACCGTGATTTCGCATTTGTCTCCGATAATGATTCCTTCCACGTCCGGTGGAAAGAGAGCTAGTAGGTCTTTATGGTGTGTCAGTTTAGTTGATTGCTTCTCTTTTTATACATCTCGGCGGTGGCAAGGGATACCCTATCTCTCGCTTATTTTAGTGGAAAGAAACGCACGACTCGTTGGGTAGTCGCTTCAGGGTATATTTGGGAAACCAGTTTCGTAGCTTTAGTAACGGTAATTTATTTTTGTTACTAGTTTGAAATGTTATTTATTGGGATTCTTTTTTCATTTGTTTTTAAAAATGAATGTATATATGGTTTTTACAATAAAAATTTATAAATTAAAGCATGTGTTTACTCGTTAAAAAACTGACAACGAATTGCAATGAAAGGGGCCCCTAAATATTCAGTGCCCAGGTCCTTTTTTAATCCATTTATTTTCAAAAAATGATTATTTATTGAGTTTGGGTCAGTATTAAAGCTATATAAATTATTTTGATATTTTGTTGGGATTACATTGAATTTTTTTTAAATTTTCCATTTATTTTTGTTTTTCGCTGGTTGTAGAACTTGCTCCAAAAAATACTTTTTTTCTGATTTAATACCTAATGTAGTGTAATTTCGAAGTTGCTTATTATAATTCCAATGGTTTGTATTATTGGTCGATTTATATTTTGATAGAGCTTTATTTCGAAGTGGTTGCATTATTTTAATATTAGGTGTTGTCCACGGAGACAATGGTTTTGGAAATTGTGATGTTTTAATGGGAGCATGTGTATTAAATATTTTTATTATAGATTTATTTAAAAAATCAATTTTTTCTAGAATATTTACAAAATTATATATCTTTTGCTAATTAAAATTTTGTACATTATTATTAAAATTCATTAGATTAAGATGAGAGAAGTCACGAAAAGATTTATAAAGAGGAGGTAATTTTGGGGCATTCACATTTACAGCTAAGTCTGTTACATTATGACCAGACTGGTGAAAAGTATAGTTTTTATGGTGGGTAAAAGTAAGATTGTTGTCTACGATGATATGATCCAATAATGATTTAGGGGTTGCTTCTGTAACAGTTTGCTGGAGATTTAAACCATTAAGCAAAGTTGAGTATTCAACCACAGCAGTAAGTTAATTAAATAAATCAATATTCAAGTCCCCCATACAGATAAATTTATCATATAATAATAATAATCTGCTTTATTCAATAAAATACATAATACAGTTAATTTTATACAATAAATGCAATAGATAAAATAACTATAGATACATCACAGTAATGTCAAGAATAAAGCTTTAGATTCCAATAAGTGGATAGATACTTGTTTTGGCCAAAAGTAAATAAAGGGTTACAGAAGAGTAAAATCTAATAATAATTAATAACAATAATAATAATAATAATAATAATAAAATCACACAATAGGTACTAATACATTTCTAATTATGATATACAGATAACTTATTTTTAATTTGCCTAAACTTAAGTATATATTGCTATAGTATTAGAAGTAATCATCAATAATGTGACGCTCGCCTTTGAAAATAAAATCTTTTAGCTCTGTTTTGAACAAGTATATACTATCAATGATTTTTATGTTTTCCGGAATTGTATTGTATAATTTTGGTGCCATATAGGAATATGACCGTTGAGTACAGGTTTTTTTCATAAACGGAATAATGTAATGATGTTTGTGCCGAGTACTATATTCATGAATTGCAATTGGAGCTTGTTGTTTATGTACATGATATCTGATTCCTGAACAGAGGTAAATGGAGTGTTCAATACATTTATTCAAAATAAAAGTAAATGGCTTTACAATGTAGCAGCAAATTTGTTTAAGTGTTTCCGCTTT